GCACTACGCCGCAATCCTTCGCAGCCGTGCCGCAGTCACGTGACCTGCTCAGTGATCAGTATGTCTTGGCACTACTGAGCAACTGAGCACTTTGCATGTAACCTGCAAGCTGCTCAGTGATCAGTACCTCTTGGCAGTACTGAGCAACTGAGCATATTGCATGAAGCTTTAGTATATAGCACTAGGCATTGAGCCCTTATGGCTCGATGTGTTCAACTTAAGTTTTGAGTACAAGTACAATACAGAGAGTTATTCTACTTGCACGTTACTGTCCTCGTTTGCACCCTGTCACTCTATCTGCGAAAACCAACCAACAAGAAGATCAATACCAGAAGTCTTATATTACTTCCACTTGATCTATACTCTTAACAGTCTAGTAAACTAGTTTGCCTAGTAGGGTTGTTTTTAGCTAGGTTAGCTACTTGGATTACTAGGTTTCTAGCAATCTCTAAGGCCTCCTTAATAGAGGTTGCCTTTGGTGTTTTCCCTACTGTAGGGTATCTTGGCACTGCTCTAATAAATGGAGAAAAATTACTCCTTGTCCTAGTATGGGTAGGCCTAGGCGGTTCTTCTAGTTGCCTGTTAGGGCAAGGCGTAGAGGCCTCCTCAGCCATCTCAATTTCTAGATTATTATCCATTAGTCGTTTGCTTGTGCCTCTAAGGTCCTTTAAGGCTAGTCTTTTTTTATTAACGTGGTTCACAAGTGAGTCGCTAACCCAAGCGAGTCGCTAACGCCCCACCAGCCCATTAACTTCATCACTATAACGCGTGATGTCTCAACAACGCAACCGTCTATTAATATATTCTAAATCTAATCTTTAACTTGCTCTTTTTAACGTCTAGTCGCAACGTGTTTAGAGTGTAAACCGTGCTACTACTATCTACAACGTCCTACAAAGAACTCTATCTGATCAACGCGCTAGAAAGCGCCCTCAACGCGACTGCGAGCCGAAATCAAAGCGTCTAGATAAGCTAGAAGAGGAGGCTATAGTTGAGCGTATTCTTGAAGAGTCTACGCGAGGATTTGCGCCTACAAAGCTTGACGTTCGAGTAATGGCTGATAAACTATTGGAGGAGCGTGGTGGCAACCCTGTTGGCAAGAACTGGGTTGACAACTTCGTTAAGCGGACTCCTGAGCTCCGTACGCGCTAGAGCCGTCCCTATAATTACCAGCGAGCCGCCTGCGAGGATCCAGTGGCTATCCAGCGCTGGTTCGACTTAGTCCAGGCGACAAGGCAGAAGTGGGGTATTGTGGACGACGATATCTACAACTTTGACGAGACTAGCTTTATGATGGGCAAGATTTTATTATAGTTAGTTATTACAGCATTAAAAAGATATAGGAAAAAGAAGCGGATACAGCTAGGCAACCGTAAGTAGGTTACTATAATCTAAGGCGTAGGCGCGTTAGGTCGCTAAATACCACCCTTCGTTGTCTTTGCGGGCAAGGTGCTTATCAACGTCTAGTTTAAGAATTTGCCTGCTAACTAGGTTCTTAAAGTCAGTCCCAATAGCTAGACGAATAATTAGCTTAGTCTTGCCTAGTTAGAGCACTTTGATACCCATACAAAGAGCTCTACTGTAGGTGGGTATTGACTGCTCATTATTGATGGCCATAAGAGCCACTGCTCTGTCGATTTCCAAGATCTTTGCAAGGAGAAGAATATTGTGCTTCTCTGCATGCCTGCGCACTTGTCTCACCTGTTGTAGCCCCTTGACGTCGCCTGCTTCTCGCCGTTAAAGCGCAAGTATAGCGACGCTATTTCAGGCTTGGCACGCAACCGCACCTACTATATTAGCAAAGAGACCTTCCTACTAGCCTTTAAGACTGCTTTTAAGCAGTCTATCACGAAGGAGAATATCTAAGCTAGCTTTAGAGGCGCTGGTCTAGTCCTACACGACCCACAGGCTGTGCTATCTAAGCTTGATGTGGTGGTGCAGACACCTGTACAATCACCGCAATAGGTAGCCGCCTGGCAGGCGCAGACACCACGCAACGCGCGCGAAGTTGAGTCTTAAATTGGTCTCATTCAAGAGAGCGTGAGAAAACGCCGTGGGTCTTCTGCCAATTCACTTACTAAGTAGATCGCGCAGCTAAGTAAGGGGGCCCAGCAAATGGCACATAAAATAACGCTTATGATGGAGGAAATAGGTACGCTTCGAGCGGCTCTTAACGAGTCAAATAAGCGTAAAAGCCGCAAGCGGCGATACGTACGGACAGAAGAGACTCTTACTATAGGCGAAGTACAAGAAGTATTAGCTGAACAGGCGGGTAGCAGTCGTGGTGATGGTGAGAGTGCGTCGAAGAGGGTGCGAGGAGAGCGGCGGTGCGGGCGTTGCAAGCAGACTGGACACAACGCTCGTACCTGCGTAGTTGAGATAGATAGTGCAAGTGATAGTAGCGATTCTAACAATTAATTTGGTGTATCGCAATAGTTTATTGACTGTGATAAAAAACTGTGATAACGTGTTGATGTAGATGTAGTGGTGGGGCGTTAGCGACTTGCTTGGGTTAGCGACTCACTTGTGAACCACGTTATTTTTATTGTTTTGATATGTCTGTGTTTCTTGCTAAATTTAAGCTTCAATAAGCTCCTGCGTTCCTATTGGCCCCTCCAGTCTTGGCATTAGAGCCTAAGCTCTGTGAGAAAATTCTCACAGGCGTGAGATAACGAAGGAAGGCCTCCTTCTTCTCCCTACTGCGCGCTAGCGCCTTAGCTGCAGGTGTTGAAAGTGCTGTTAGTCGATTCCTCGTGGTCGGTTCTCTTAGATAGCGTGCTTTCCTAGCGGTTTCCAGAAAACTCGAAGTTGGTGTTGTGCTAAGCTAACTTGGCACGGTCACTGTAGTTCCAGCTCCGCCTACGTAGTCCGCGCCTGGGCTTCCCCGCAACTCGTCTCTCGGAACAGAGCACATACACGACTCAAGTCAATCAACCCATCAAGATGAGCGCCTCGGTGTCTGTTTATACACTACAAGCTGCTATTCTACCTCTATCCTTCGAGGACTACACCAATCGCTGAGGGAATCCACTTCAGACCCTCTACTCGTTGCACTTCTCTCACCATGTCGCCGTCGCATAGCATGAACTTCTCCATCCCCGATGATCTGAAGCGATTCCTTGCTAACCTCGACACTTTCATTGAAGAGAACATCATTCCTCTCCAGAACAAAGACGACAATATCCGCTTCTTCGACCACCGCCGCGAGCACGCTCGAACCGACTGGGATAATGGCGGACTGCCGCGCAAAGAATGGGAAGACCTGCTAGCCGAATCGCGAAGACTAGCCGATGAAGCTGGCTTTTATAGGCTTTCACTGCCAAAGCAGTACGGTGGGCAGAACAGCGCCGACGGTCGGGGAAGCAATCTCTGGATGGCTGTCATTCGAGAGCACCTTGCAGCCAAGGGACTGGGGCTATTCAATGACCTCCAGACCGAGCATTCGATGGTTGGAAATTTCCCGGGCGTCATTATGCTCATGAACTTTGGCAATGAACAACAGAAGGCAGAATTCATACCGTTGCGACTGCAAGGCAAGTTCAGGATGACCTTCGGCCTGACGGAACCTGGCCATGGATCAGATGCGACACATATGGCTACCAAAGGAAGGCCGGAGACAAGGAACGGAGTCAAAGGCTGGCTGCTGAATGGATACAAGAAATGGCAGACGGGTATGCACCAAGCCACTCACTGCTCCATTTTTGCGAGAACGTCGGGCAATGATGGCGAGGTCAAGGGCATTTCTTGCTTTATTGTGCCAGTCGGGACGTCTGGACTCAAAGCAGAATCATACGAGTGGTACGTATACGATATCATTTCCAAGAAAGCTTGCTAAGCACCCATTCCAGGACCTTGAACATGCCCACCGACCATGCAACCGTCTCAATCAAGGATGTGTGGGTTCCCGAAACTGCAGCCTTAGGACCTATACATAATGGATTGGGGGTCGCTCAAGCTTTTGTACACGAAAACCGCATCCGGCAAGCTGCTTCGTCGCTCGGAGCGGCTGTATATTGTGTTCAACAGTCTGTCGAATACGCCAATGAACGCGCACCTTTTGGAACACCCCTTTCGCACAACCAGGGAATTCAGTTTCCGCTCGTCGAGCTTGCCACTCAATGTGAGATGCTGCGCCAACTCATACGGAAGACTGCGGTGGAAATGGACTCGATGCCACACAACGAGATTGAAAAGAAGATCGGAGACAAAGTGTCCATGTGTAATTATTATGCGAACAGGCTATGCACTGAGGCAGCCGATCGAGCGATACAGGTTCATGGCGGCAATGGGTATTCGAGGCATTTTCCCTTCGAACACATTTGGAGACACCACCGACGGTACAGGATTACAGAGGGCAGTGAGGAGATCCAGATGCGTAAGGTGGCCGCTTATCTGTTCGGCTTTGGCGGCCGGAAGAGCCTGGTTGATGCGACAAAATCTGAGTCGAAGTTGTAGTTACCTCGATTAGGCAAAGGTATCATTGGTGTAGTCTGCCCGATTTGTTTCTAATAGCAGAGCCACGCCCTATTGCTCTGGTTCGTCAGCGCCATTCTCGGAGCCACCTATTAAATCCAGGCATTGCATCCTTTTCCGTGACCACAGGTAGTAAAACCACAATCAGTAGGAACCACACAAAAAACGCGGCAACCCAGAGAAGAGTCAGCTGCAACGTCGAGCTTTTAGGAGGTATCGGCAAAGGCTTCAACTGCAGATTGGAGCTAGCTGTATTCATCGATCGTGATCCTGGAAGTGCTGGAAGTGGTTTGGATATTGCGCCATGCCTGTGTGTCCCAGCCGTGGCGTTGCGATAGGGCTTTGCAGTAGCGTTGTAGGTATCTGGCTTTGGTGGCACTGGTGGTCCCTCGGAGCCTGAGTACGGCTTGCGGTTGCGCATTCGATAGTCTTCGGTTGCTAGAGCAGACATGGCTGTGTTGTAGGAGTGAGGTCTGTGGACCAAAGTCGCTAGGCGTCCTTGATGCAGGGTCTCCCGGGAGTACTTTTCTCAATGCAGACTAGCTGATTACAGATTGTGGCAGTGCGGGGATTGAACGTCTTCACATTACTGTACAGGCAACCGTCTTTCTTTCTATTCTATGCTTTCGTTGCGAATACTCAGAGCTTTATCAGTAAGCTTACCGACCTTGAATTCCATGGCCTAGCCCTCGCTGAGTTCGCGATTTTGGCGGCCTGCATCTCATATTCTTCCTGTCTGTCCTCTCTATGTTCTTTCCAACCATGGTTGTAGTAAATATGTTCAAATCTGCAGCCAATACAGTTCGTTTCCAAACAATACGAAGTTTATCAAATTCACTGGTCTCCAGTCACAGCACTACTTTTCTGTTCACCATTAATCACTACTTTAGTGCCACCGCAAACTTGCAGCTTACGCATCACTATGTTTTTTGACACGTTTCACCCTCACCAATGGACTAGTCAGTTTATGACGGCAATCGAAAACGTACTTCACTGCACATAGAAAATCCACAATCTCAACCTAACCCGACTCATCCCTGATTACCAAGCGCATTCTCAACCCACCGCCACCTACGAAACATCACGTACTTGCAACGTCATGGTCGAGTCATTGGGCAGAGAAGATCTTCAAGTCGCTTCTGAAGCCCCGATCTACAGGCAACAAGAGGTGCTAGCAATGGGAAATGAAAAAGCTGCGGCCAATAGTGCACACGAAATCACACCCTTATCCACACGTAGCTGCTCGACGAATGGCGATGAAGATCTCCCAGAGGGATGTGAGTTGGCTCCACGACTGGACAAGATCGTCAAATCGAGAGGGCAACAACAGCATGCACAAAACACAAGGAAACTGCGAAAACGCAAATGGCGCGTATCAAAGCAGTTTTCATGCCCCCAAAAAATCATTGCACGCTTCGCGTATCCAGCTGAATCCCGCCCATCTACCTCCCACCATTCAACACCAACTGAAACAGCCGCGCCGACAATCAGCTCGCCACATGGCCTCAAGTCACTACCAAAACCTTTTTCGGTTTTCACACAAGCTCTGCGTTGTGTATCCAGCTACATGAGACCCTATATCAATCTGTCTTTCTCTTCTTTCAGAAACGCGATACTGGAATCTTCAGATGTCAATACCCAGCACAAGACACGAGCTCATGTCGAAGACGAACGCAAAAAATCTCGAGGGAAAGAACGACATGAGAAGGTAGTCAGAGTCGTTGCATTTGTGGTTGATGACCAGGCCGAGGCAAGACCCATAGAAATGAGAGCGAGGTATAAGAGAGTCAGGGAGATTATTAGGGCAAGTGGATATCGAGTTGAGGAGGAATTGTATGGGGCGCAGATCATGGAGGCATTGCGAGCGTTGCGGCAGTAACTGGCATGTGCTTTTCTATCCGAGCTTGTTTGTGTACTTGGCCACTTTCGTGCGAGATGATAGCGGGTGCAAGTTGCTAGCACTCTGTGTTTTGACGCTACTCGTGCAACCCGGACTGTTCTCTTTTTTTTCTTGTTATGACGGCTTGATCGCCAATGTCTCCGGCACTTACATGATTGCTAACATGCGAAGACAATTTCATCTATCCATGTTTGTACCGGGGTTTGATTAGGATCTGTGGAGATGCATCCACGATCCCGGAGCGGGGCACTGCGATTCAAGGATACCCACGGTGTGAAGCGCAGATTTAGAAGAATCATGCTAACTACCATGCGGAGCTATCTGCAAGCATGTGACCATCGCGATTCTTTGTCTGCGATTTCATCTTATCTCTGAATTCCCGTTAGGAAGTCCACTAGTTACCTTTTAGTACATCTTAGTGGTTTATGCTCTCATCTCGGCCCAATGGTGAGGGTGCTATCCTAGAATCTGGGGGACAATCAGGGGTTAAAAAAAAGATACCGAGGCACATTCCCCTATTGCCCTCGAACAAGGTCACCGTCACCCCTTTTTTTGCAAGTCATGCGACCCCAGTTGCAAAGATGCGAGTGGCTGGGATAACGTGCCTTGGGATCTGCTATCTCCGCGAATCCAATTCTGTGCATCCTAGTGGGTAATACGGGCCATTGCGCCATTTACCGGACTCTCGGTTACGACTGACTCTTTCTTGAATTCATTGACCCCATCAGAAATGCGCATGGTACGAGCGCCCTACAGCCCTTTTCTTCTATAAAAAGCAACTTCGAGCGATGGATGAGTAATGAGTGCGCAGGCAATAGAGCCGGTTCGTTGCCCTGGAGTTCAATACGCCGTGCAGCACGAGAGAGCCAGGCCATGGAATGTGTGAATGCCGACTTGATAAAAAGAAAGGCGAGGTTGCAGCGAGTTGAGAAAAAGCAAAAAGAGAACCTTGCCGTTATTCTCTTCAAGTATAGGTGATGTGAAGTAGCCTTCCGCTAAGGCTGAAGCGATCGGGGGGCCTGACTCGGCAGCTTGTCATTATAGGAGAATTTCCAGATATACGAGAAGATAGCGGGTATGTTGAAATGACTGGAAAAATAAATCACTCTTTAGACCAATGGAGTGGTTCCACTGCGAGTCGTGATCGATGTTGGGAAGTTTGCTCGGAAGGCTGACGGTTCCGACTGTACTACCTTTGGGCGTGGAAGGCTGAAGCTGAGAGACTCCAAAAACACTATTGTACGTTAAAGAGAAAGGGATATGATCTGCTAATATCGTATGCATGTGGTGCCGTTGTCAGGGGTACATAGTCAGCCACAGTTGCCGATGCGAGGGGCCAGGCGTCGGGAAAATGCAAGTGAAGGTTGTACTTACACGGCCCCCGTTTCCCCAAATCGACCGGCCGACTTCCTATCGTACTATCGTGCTGTGCCCGCCATTTCAGTCTGGGAGGATTGCGCCCCGAAGATCGCAGATAACTGTTGTTTGCAAGAGCAGCGCAGACGCTGGAAGTGGCACGCCCCGCGGTTCTTGGCAGCCTGGAGAAACGCGCCATGGCCTCGACATCAAGCCGGCCCAACGCCGCCACAAGTACGTACCGACAACCTCGTGTGAGCCCGCATACACACACTGATTCATCTGTTCAGATCAATGTCCGCCGCTAGAGAATCAATTGAAGAAACGAGCGCCGCGTCGACGCGTCAAGCGCGATGGGCCGCTTCAACTGCAGTTCCTCACCGCAACCGACCCGTCAGACTTCAAGAATGAGGACACAAGACGCAGCGTGCGTTCGCAGGCGATGGTGTATCATAGGAGCAAGCCCAAGAAACCGGCGGTGCTGCATCAAAAACGGGCTGGGGGACCAGTCACCAAGAAAGAGCCCATTATTTCCGTCTTCGTGGATGACCACCCCGGACATACACCAGGCGGGCTCAAAGGGTCTGTAATAAGGCAGCAGCGACATGGAAATGCGATAATACTAAAGACGGGCTGCGATGCTCATACAAGCGCCGCACTGGAGAGAGGCCCCCAACCCCACCAACGGCTTCCCGCTACACGCGGCCTACCACGGTTGGCCAAAGGCCACGTCGACTCGAATGGCGACGAACACACGCAGAGTCAAGAGGAACGTGTCTTCCGCCGGTTCATGGCCAGGATAGCGAACTTGTATCAGGTTGGAGACGGGGTGGACCCATTTCGTGCTCTACCGAGTTTCAAAAGTCCAGAGGTCGACTCACTTTTCCTCAAGCGCAATTGTTAGTGCTCACATGCGTCTGCTTTCACCATGCGCATTTGGCCAAGGCTAACCCACTCAGGCATGCGGGTATTCGCGAGCGACATGTTCAATGTCAAATGGCTTCCGGCTATGCTTTCTTACCCCGATGTCTTGCTCAGCTCATCAATTATAGCCGCCGTATGGCTGGATTTGCACGAGGAGAGGACGAGCGACAGTAAGCAGACTGTGCTGCTCAAAGCCGAGATTTTCGACATGATCAAGGGGCGGCTACAAAAAGCCAGCACCCAATCATCAGACTCAACCATCATGATTGTGATGCACTTGCTTACAGGTGAGATATTCGGCTCTAATGAAAGAGCTTTGCGCGTACACGAGCATGGACTCGCTAGGTTACTGCTGCATCGTGGCGGGCTGTCACGCCTAGGCAACGAACCATTGGCAGAAACATGCACAGCGTGAGCATCCCCTTCGAGGACATCCGAAACGGCACTAACCCTCGTCTCCTAGGTGCTGCTTTCACGGTAACCTGATTAGTGAGGCCGAGCCTCTGCCTGCCTTTGCGACATATCAAATAGCAGTGGATCCAATCCTGCTTGATGACTCTACGATACCAGAGTCACCGCTGTTTTGCCTGAGAGCAGATTTTACGACAATTGCTAACGACTCGCGCTGTTCGCCCTTCACGTGTGACCTACTCCGAGATATGCGGGATTTAACCAACCTCTTCATCGCTCACGAATCAGCATTGGAGGTTCAGCGTCGTGTTTCCGAGGTCGATGCTGCTTACGCAAAGGATTCCGATGTCGAATACAGCAGCAAAGTCACTGCAATACGTAAACGCCTGACCAGGCTTCCTTCGGCCCATGTTTCAAACCTTCCCACTTTCAACGACTGGGTGTATGAAGCCTGTCGCATCACCGCTCTCATCTATGCCGCGTCTATTATACTGCGCCTACCCTTTTCTGTCACTGCTGACCCGTGTCAAAATCCGCTCGTGGCAGAGTTGGAGGCCTCAGACTGTCTAGGGTCAGGCACTAGCCTGCTTGACATGCGCCTGAGCGAGACGCTGTACACTGTACTGCAGCGCACTAACATTGCAGATTTGTGGAACAAGATGTCTGGGGTATTCTACTGGGTCAGTACCGTTGGCGCTGCTGCTGCCCGCTCACCCTCGGTGATCCATGAAACGCGGCAGTGCCAGTCTCGGGACGAGAAATGGGTGCGGCGATGTTTTGCAATTTTCTCGACGCGCACCATGATCAAGTTGGTGTTTAATCATCCCAAGCCCGTCTTACTGGCACAAAAGCGGCTTCTCAACATACAGCGGCTTATCGCCAGACACGGCGAGGATCACAATGCGTGGAAGAGCGAGGAAAAGATATTAGTGCATGGTTCCTAGGCGCCGCATGCACCTTCATATGAGAAGGACCGGTTAGTGGGCGGTGATGCAAGGAGGATCGGTGCGGCCACAACGACGATGTCCCGATGTTGCCAAGGCCTGCAGGCATGAAGCGGCAGAAATGCTTAATCATGTTCAAGAATGCTTGACTGGAGCAAAATAGGCCTGCATGCGCCTCTCGATCAAGCCACATTCGTTCCGTTCTACTGTACTCACGGCCTGCACGCCACATGGACCCCATGGAGCATTTGCTGAATGACTGCCTACTCGCAGCATGCAGCATGCATGAAAAACTTGTACATATGTACGATCCCCGCATCTCTCGATATGTCTGGCCATTGGGCATGCAGATGACTCTGCCAGGTGGAGTTTCGCACCCTTCACGTTTGCCTCCAGCCACCTCAAAGGGATGCGGCATTTCGGGTGGTCGCCATCCGCAAAGTCCGACGTGCAACGCCCCTTGTACAGTCGGCAGACAGGGCGCATGTCCCATGCATCAGCCTGTTGATCCTCGGTCTGTCAGGACACTGTGTTCGATGACGATGCAAAGGGCGCACATGTGTTCCTCATGTGGTTTTTACACGTCCAATTTTGCACCGGCAGCTGCCTGTGCTGGCAGTGGGTCCTCCATGGTTCTTTGTTAGCCGTGGGCAGTCTGTGCTTGTTAGTCCCGTTGCGGCATGTTGTAGTAAGTAAGGTTTGTCGCTGCACGTTAGTACCATGTCCGCTTCACTTGACCGCTCTCAAATGGATCCCTATGGCCAGGGCCCAAACACATGTCTTTTAGGGCCCACGGTGTGGAGGAGCATCATGGTCCGTCTCATCCGGTGCTCCGCTGGTCACGACAGTTGCCGCACAGGGCAGCAGAGCCTGTAGCCCCAGATGAGCTACATTCGACTTTGAAACAACGCATGTGGCGCAGCGAGGCTGTGGTGTCCAGGATTACGCTGCGTATCCCTATCCTGGTGCCCAGGTGTCGGCGAGAACCCCGTCATAGGGCAGGGCACGCCAAATGAGTCCGTCGAGCCGCCAGTTTGAGACAAGCAGACATTTGGACAGTGACATGACGGGCTTGCTGATCCATCCATTAACGGCGTTGGTAAAACAAGTGTCCCCTGGAGCTGGTGACCTTGTCGCTTAAATCTCACGTGCCGGACAAATCGAGCGGACGGCATCCAGGCACTATTCGCGCTGACAGCCGCCGGTATCCCAGGACGATATGTCATCTTAGCGGCTGCCAGCTCGTCCGAACGCGCGACCTGGGGTGCTTGCTGCTTCCCTAGAATCCGATTGGGTCCGCGCCCACCAACCCCCATAAGATCAGCAAGGGTGTGGCTGTCGACCACACTGCCCTTGAGGGGGCGTTTGTATAAAACATGGGCACCCTCAGAATCCAACGCGTAAACGAAAGAACCTCTCCCTCCAGTTACCCTTTTCTCGAATCTATGGTTTGTTGCCGCCACCATGGCTCTCGTCACTCGCTTCCTGATGCCTAAGCACCCTAAGCACGCCGTGACCGAGGAGACACTTGCCGCCCCCACCAAGCTTGAACAACAACCCCCAGTCACGCAGACATCGCCCTCATGGAAACGCCTCTTGATACTCAGATATGACAGCCAGAAGTACTGGGTCCCAAATCTGCTCGCAGTCCTCAAGGCTGCGGACGATGGTTTGCTCTCGTCCTCGCTCCTGGCACACATCAACGGGCCACCCGGGCAACTGGAACTCGACACGCTCTACCAGGCATTTGCCAACGAAATGCGTGGCCGATCCATTACGGAGCGATCTACGTATCCCCTGGAAATGAACAAATTTCTTTCTCGAGCGAGAAAACCCATGAGTGGCCTGGGCCGATCAAAGTCGATGTCACAGATTAACCCAAGGACGCAAAGGAAGAGCATGGACCTGTCAAAGGCGACGGAGCTGGGCCTTTCCAGAAATTTTAGTGTAAAGAAGCCAGCATCCTCTCTGGTTTCGATGCGCAGCGGACTGCAAGAAAATGGTACTCACCAGACTGCGAACAAATCGTGGATGAAGGACGGACAAACAGCAAAATATCAAGGCGACAGGATGAGGATAAAGGTCACGGCTGCCGAGCTTACAGCTCTGGCTGTGATACTGGGAAGCGAGCCGAACAAGAACATCGGCACTGACCGTGCGTTCACAGATATGGGTGCCTACGGTATCTGCATCACCCCTACACGGACACAAGGCTCCAAATATCACATCACCCTTACACAAAACAAACTCAGCAGATCGCAACGGCACGCCCTAGGCTCAGGAGTATCGACAATCTTCGCAAAGCACCTCGCAGCTGGCTCTCTTCCCTACCGTCAGGACAAACTCGGTGTACACAGCATACTCATCACGGAAGACACGTTCGACACGATACAAGCCGGTACATTGCTCGGTCCGGAGCCAAGCGCCACGCAAACACAGCAATCCAAGTTTCTGACTTCGCTACCCAATTCGACTGAGCTCAAGTTTTATGCCCTCACATCGACCCAAGCCGACACCTCGACAACACTGTTGAATGCCATCGCAGCATTGCCATTCTCTGGTGGTCTTCCACCCCTTGCCTCCTCGCCGATGATCAAAACAATAAAGTTCATCGCATCCGGCAACTTGGAGACGGGAAAGCTACTACAGCGTCTAGAAGCCCTCGTAGACAAAGTACACCGACAAGCACCACACCTCAACATCTTCGGTCCGCTTTACGAACCTCAGAACACAAAGGCCTTGTACCGCGAGCGAGAACGTCTACGCAAACTTGACACCGACCCACAGACGCCCGACACATTGGCCGACAAGTCGGCTCGCATGTCTCGCTACATCACTTTGCTCGAGCGACTCATGGCCCTCGTGCCTGACTCAAAGCCACAGAACGTGCTCAAAGCCGTCCAAAAAGCCACACAGAATGAGATCCAGCGCGCATACGATCACGCAGTGGGGCAGGTACCCCGATCGTCGAGCACGCGAAGTGCGGAATCTCATCTGCAGCCTCCACCTGGTGCGCAAACCACACACCGCTCCACCTCACCACTGTCTAGCCTGCGTCGCCGCTCTATCCGCTTCAGCTTCTATTCCAACGTGACGAGCCCCTCCAACACCAGCGAAACATCCGTGGAAGAAGACAACAACGACTCCAGCCTAGCAAAGCAGATGGAGCGTGTCCTCAAGTCGGAACTGCCCCTCGATGTGGCAACAGTTGCCTCTGTAGCGCGCATGGTGCTTGTGGCATGGACCCTGAGCGTGGGTACTGTGGCATGGAATGACAACGAGGAAGGATACCGGATCCCAGATCTGACCGGCTGGGATAAGATGACCATGTCGTAAGCACTTTGATGATTCACATGCATGCCTTGTTTCACCGTCATCATCATCAGCAGCATCATCATCATGCTCCTGAACACGGGGGCGCTCCGGACGAAATTTACCGGATTGGTTTTTTCTTTGTACTCTTTTCCTTGATATTCCTTGATATTCCTTGATATTCCTTGATATTCCTTGATTCCATACGCGTCTTTGTTTCGAAAAAATTGGGAGTTCAGGAGGCGGCGCGGCCTTATTGTCGCTTATCAAAGATACCACTGGACGTTAGACACGTCGCTTTTCCTAGTTGTTTGTTGTTTCAACTTTTCCTCTGTACTAGTTTCCCTGCTACCACCACCACCACCACCACCATCACATGTATTACTGTCTGCACCCAAATTCAATGCATCTGAGAGTTTTGCAAATCGCAATTCATGAGACAAAAGAAAAAACTATTTTAAATAACGGCATCTAAGTGTCTCAATAAAATGAAAAATTAACTAATGTTCACACACATATATAACCAATTCGACTATTATGGCCACTTTGCCAGAAGATAAAAATTACAACACGCCAAGACCTCTCTACTGGACTATCAATCTCCGAATTTTCCACCCGTCCCCCATTCCATTCACATGCATTCCCTCAATCCCCCTCTGTAATCGAAGAAAAAAAAACTCTGATAGAGTGACTAGAAGAGAAAATCTAGCAGATCCCCAACTTCTCCCACTACAGGCCCTCGAATCACAAGTTGGCGCTCTGTATCTCCCTACCCCGACCCCCCGGTGTCCCCTCCCCCCTTCCTAAACTCTGACTCCATAATCCTCACCGCAATAACACATGCAAAAAAGCAAAGAAAAAATCACCCCCCTCCAGCATGGGTCCTGACGTACGTGACATACCTGCAGCACATGCACCACCACCACCAACCACTAACCACGATCACCAACCCCCTGGACCCCAGCCCACGCCCGTTTATCCCCCAGCCAACCAACAAACTGTCAAGTAGTAAGATTTTTTTTTTGCCAACCACCCCCCCGGGCCTCGGATGCAGTAGTATTCCGCCCGCATCCCAAGGCCCGCCTTTTCCGATCGGGACTCCGCTGCTCCGCTGCTCCGACAATCCGCGCGCCTACGTGCACGAGAATCCCAGCAGCGGAACCGTATCAGATGGGCGTTCCCTTGTGTCCGTGTCAGTGTCAGGGAGCCGTTGGTGCGCGCAGACCGCGCGCGCGATCCGAACAAGGGTCTGTGTGCGTTGTGAGCGTGAGAATGGCGTAATGGGCTTCATGTACGCTGTACGTGAGATGGGGATGGGATGGCACTGGCGCCACACACACGCACGAGGTGCGAGGTGGCGGGTGTTTGCGGTCCTGTCAGATCCGCGGAGCGGCCAATTGCTCCTTGGAGGTGTTGGTTGCGAGGGGAGGCTGGTGTGGGGACTCTCGGTTCACAGGAGCAACGGTGTGGAGTCATTTGTGGTGTGACATTTTGTCTGTGTGTGTCGCGAGGACGAATGTGCAATGCCGTGTTGAGTTGCTTCGTATATTGCTTGCTTTCTATGCGTGTAGGTGGTTAGGATTACAAGGCCGTGTCGTCTATGTTGCCGTGCGAAAATGCAGGCAAAAACAAGAAATATTAGAAATATCCCGTTGGGTAGTGATCATCTAGTCGAGTGTATCCAGTAAGGCTTAATAATTATGATCGCCCTTTTGATTCACCCGTCTTACCGCTTAGTCTGGCCCCATGACCTCTAGTCCGCGACAGACACCAACCCATGCGTCTCTCATACTCTCCCAAACAAGCTCCATACTTTCCTCTTCTAGACCATCGCGCTTTCTCTCCTTTCGTTCTATCCGGTCTCCCGTGCCCTCAGCCATCATAGTGCTGACACGGTCACGCTTGGAGTGCCTTTCGCTCAGGAGGGTCGTATTAGTCTTGAGGCCCTTGCCATCGAGCTCACCTTTGACTTCCCAGCCTCTGCGGACGGGGCCATAGATGGTAGCAGGGGTTATGAGCGTGCTGTCCAGAAGAGCATTCCATCGGGAGAGGTACATGCCGGGGCCGTGAGTCGTGCCATGGCCGTTCTGCGATGAGGATGATGGCTGCATGATTGATTGCAGACGTGACACCGATGTTGACTTGAGGCTTGACAGGTGCTTCTCATGTTTATCGAGAAGCTCTTTCAACTCCTCCTGCTTTTCTTTGCTCATCGTCTCGAAAATAGCATGGAGCGGCGCAGTCATGGTTCCTGCTCCACCTTCACCTCTTTCTTCTGCTTCCAATGCACGCTGGTCGACGCGAAATTCTGAAAACATGCGCTTGGCATATTCCAGATAGTCTTGCGCGAGGTCCGGTGCATTCTTGGTGACTTGGTGTAGGAACCTGTGCAGTGATGGCGCGTGCCTCTTGAGGAGTTGCACAAAGTCCTCTACTGTAGGAGCGTCACTCGCTTCTTGGTCCATGATGCTGGCTGGATCTGGTGAGCTTGGCCGTGATTTAGAAGGCTCCCGACTTCTGAAACCGCTCTTCTTCTTAGGCTTGGCGGTTTTGATCAGATCGGTAATGAAAACCTCGGCATCTGTGACGGTGCCTGATAGATCCACAGCGTTGTGAATTGCCCGTATGACGGGATCCATTCCTGCGACAGCGTCTCGGATTGTCGACGTAAGAACATCGGGATTAGACTTGCATAGGATCTTGGTGAGTTCCTCGCGGTCACGGATGGAGAGATACGTGCCGAGATACTCCATAGCTACACTGTGTTGGTGTTCGCTAAGTGACTCGGCATCGATCTTGTACGGTGGGTCAGCAGTCTCAAGGACGACGGCCACAATGGACTTTGACTCGGACATAGATTGGCTCCTTGCCGCTTCATGCTTGTCTCTTGAGGCAAAGACAAACGTCTTGATAGCTTTGAAGACTCTCTTGTCGGGCGCATTGCGCGATGCCTCGAGCTTCGTTGCGCGCTTCTGAAACTCTGACGTGTCCCATGCTAGTATAGTCGAGAGGATCTGTTGGAGGAGGTTCATGCCGTCATTTGAGTTGTTGGTGAGACCTATCCAGTTAGTCATCGCCGTCACCGACAGCTTTGCCAAGACGAGTCTGACCATGCCGTTTATCATGGTAGCCGCATTACCAACGCGGAGTGTCTGTTTGACAACGGTATATGGAATGAGTCGGTGTAGGTTTTCGACCAGACGGACGAGGTACTGGCCATCGGGTGACATTACGAAGACGTGATGGAGGAAGGAGGCAGCACTTGTATCGTCAGAACACGTACCGGCAAGTCGTGGGGACACTCACTTCAGTAGCATGTACTCATGGGCTGCCTGCACACTGCTTGAGTGATCTTCAAGCCGCGGAGACTCCTTAACCTTCTCGTACAGATCATCGAGGGCATGGCCATATATAGCTCCGCGCACGAGTTCTTCAAAGCCCTGGATAACGTCCTTGGGGTTGCTGGTATCGTACTCCCTCTTGCTTTCCTCGGTCTTCAACCCCGAATAGCCGCCCAGCATGCCTCTCGCGACATACTCGGCAATACTACTCGCGGCTGTCGCGAGAGCCTTTCGACTACCAATGGCGCCCTTGTCATAACTCTCGCTCAGCTCCGCCTCGGCCATTCGTGCAACCAGGATCTGGATCTTTTCGGACCACCATGTCTCCCCAAAGTTTCTCAAGGCAGGGTTGCATAGCGCAAACTTGTTGAGCATGTTCTGCAGCAAAGGGCTCGTCGTCTGCACGCCATCTGCTTTGCGAAAAGGGTAGCCATATTGGTCGATTGTCGAGGGGTATTTGAAGGCTTCAATCTCGGCGTAGACCTGGTGGTGGATCAGGATGTCGAACAGGGCGTGTGTCTGCGCGGGCGTGAGGGGTTTGGACGTCGACGACATGGTGGTGGGAAGTGAAGAGCGCCAGAACCTACAACGTGTAACGACGCCATGTTCTGACACCGACAAAGGTTGACGCGGGTGCGCCGAAGACGCGGGGTACGTCATCATGCCGGCCGTCTTGGCACGTCACCGACGTGATCCAATTCTGGATGTTTGCCACACCCCACGTGTGGCTTCTTTCACCGCCTCCAATCCATCTGGACTATTCATACCGCACGCATATGTCCAAGTGACCGTCCTGTACTTCAGCCCTCGACTTGGAACCGCCCCGCTACCAGCGATCTAACGCCTTTTGCACACCGGATGCGTGTATTGCGCTGCTGGATGGATATATCGGCATTGTCTGGGCCAAATCGGGATTGACTTATACACACTATATCGCTAGGCCGTTGCGTCTTTACTACTAAGCTATGGATTCCGGTCACTCGTCTCAGCTGGCTAAGACTAGGCCTCGAAAAATGCGTAGAAGAGGTGGCTAATAATCCATGTGATAACCTATCCAGGGCATATGCAATGGTGGTAGCCAGGCGAAGCATCAAATGTACAGAGTCAATTGACGAATCCAAATTACAACCTCTCTCTTCTATACTCGTTGGCTCCCCACAAGTTACCTTTCCTTACCAACATCGACCTGCCCCGCCATCTGGACGTCCTTATCTTATCAGTCACCGATACAGTTCGTGTACCACCACCCCATTCTTGCTTCCTTCGCGTAAACGCACATGCATTGCAAACTACGCTCAACGTATCACAGCACAAAACGACAACTCAGAACATGTAATCGCCATGGAGCGGCACCTATCAAGCGCCGGATAGCCTGCGCATCCACCTACCTATTTGCAACTTGTGACATGGCGCCAATAAAGCTTGTTACCCATACCATGGCTGTATTTGAGCTTGGGCTGGCTCTCCATGCGCCGGGGCTAAAAACCTCCAGTCCCAGAAAAATATGGAAAGCCCTGAATCGCCGGTGGAACACGTCGACGTCCTTGTGGTGGGTGGAGGACCAGTCGGTACATACACGTTCCACGACGACCATCTCTCCATGAGCTAACATGCTCAACCAGGCCTCATTACCGCATACCAACTTGCACGCAATCTCACCCGCTCAAAACACCGCATCAAGATCATTGAGAAACATGCAAAATCATCTCAGGACCAGTATGGCCGCGCCATCACCCTCTTCCCCCGCACCTCTGAGATGCTCGACCAGCTGGGCCTCGCCGACGCCCTTGCCCAGCAATGCTTCGCCTGCCGCGACACGGTCAACTACGACCAGCACGGCAACGAAGTCCAAGGCAGAGGCTGGGCGTTTATGCAAAACATGAAAGACACCGCGTGGGACTTTGCCCTTGTGCTCCGCCAAAAATACCAAGAAGACATATTCCGCCGTGCCATGAGCAAAGAAGGCGTAGACCTCCAAGCACCATATACACTAACGGGCATCCACATCTCGCACGACGTCCAACCCGGAGACTACAGGATCCTCGCCACCATCGAGCACAGCGAGACGAAGCTCCAGAGCCATGTCAAGTGCCGGTACCTGGTTGGCGCCGACGGCGGCAAATCCTTTGTCCGGCGCGCGCTCGCCATCCCGTTTGACGGCTCCTCGACCGAAGACAAATGGGTGCGCATCGACGGCGTCGTCGAGACCAATCTCCCCAAGCCACGCACCTACTGCGCCATTGAAAGCCCCACGCACGGCAACGTGCTCTGGGCGGCGCTGGACCGCGGCGCCACTCGCATCGGCTTTGCGTTTACAGCGGAGCGCCAGAAAGCGTATACGGAATTCAACGAGGACGCCGCTGTCGCCGAGGCCATTGCCGCCGTGAAACCATTTAGCCTGCGCTTCAAGCAGGTCGACTGGTGGACCATCTACGTAGTAGGCCAGCGCATTGCACGCTCCTTTTTCGAGCACGACTGCGTGTTCCTCGCAGGCGACGCATGCCACACGCACAGCAGCGGCGCCGCCCAAGGCATGAACACGGGTCTGCACGACGCCGTGAATCTCGCGTGGAAACTGTGTCTCGTGCTCCAAGGCCGCGCTCAACCCGCCCTCTTGCGCTCCTACGAAACAGAGCGCAGACCAAACGTCTGCCGCCTGATTGGCTACGACAAGGCCATTTCAAGACTCATGACCATGCAGCTGCCCGAGGACTGGACGGGTGATCCAAACGCTGATCCAAATCAAGTCCTCGGCACGGTTATGGCTGAAGCTGCGAGTTTCAGTAGTGGATTGGGTATATTTTACGAGCAAGATTCGTATCTGAATTTCTCTCAGTCACAGGCTGGAGAAGAAGGAATAGCAATACCAACCGTCCACCCCGGCCACCGCGCGCCCGACATCACACTCCAAAAACCAGGCACCTTCGAAGCCACGCGTCTGCAGCGAGAAACACCCAACAACGCATGCTTCTATATCGCCGTCTTTTCGGGAAATGTGGAATCAACCTTGCACTCGCTGACTTGTTTCACAAAAGCTGTAGCCAGTCTGCCCTGGCTGCTGGATGATGATGCAGTACCCATTTCTTGGCTTTCCATCATCGCAGGACGCGGTGCCCCGTTGGCGTATGAGATGCTGGGCCACATGCCGCTTGGGCGTGTGTTCTACGATGGCGATTATAGCGCACATGGGCGATATGGAGTTTCCATGGAAAAGGGGGCTGTGCTTGTTCTGCGGCCGGATGGCTGGGTGGGCACAGTTGTGGAACTGGATGGAAATGGAGTCGAGAAACTAGAACGTTATTTCAGTCGGTTTCTGCTTGCTGCGGCCACGGGCACGAAGCATGGTGCAAAGTTGTAGACGCAGATCGGAACATGTCCCGACAGGTAAAAGGAATGCTTGCGAGGGATGGAGGTAGCTCATTTGATTTCATGTTTTACATTGAGACTATGTCACGGAATGATTGCATTCGTCCCTGTTCAGCTTACCATCTCAGTAGCCGAGTATCCATCTACAGCTTTGCATCGAGTCAGGCCAAGTAGCCGTTGGCACTCAGCCACTCTCGCACAACCTTTTCGTCTCGCGCCGCATAGGCAGCGTAACTGCGGATCGTATCATCGACAACCTCGAGACCCTTGTTGTAACCTCTGGTGTCCTTGTCCGAGAAGAACTTCTGGATCTCGTCCGCCACAGTCGCATCGGTGAACTTGTTAAGTCCAAATCGCAAGAATCGCTCTAGCACGACAGGGTTTCCAGAGAGAGTGGGGTGGACCTTTGTGTCCCAGTTTTCACGGATGTAGTTCCATACTTGCACACGAACCTTGGAGTTGTTTGCAAGAGCAATGGTCGGCGAGTGCTTGTCTTGCATGGCTACGGCGTCTGAGAAGACAAATTCCATGACTTGCTTAGCAAGCTCAGGCGTCTGGACGCGACCAAGTGATTGCAGGCAAATCTCCTTGCCATCAATTGATGTTGTGTGGAGGTACTCGTTCTGGACAGCCTTGAATGCTGATTCACCGCGGTTCTTAATCGCAGTGGCGAATACGGCTCGGCGGAGCGAAGGGTGGATCGCGCCCTTATCTTCACCAGAAATGTAGGCGTCGAATTTCTTCAGGGCCTCATCGACTGTAGCCTTGTGGCCAACAATACCGGCGGATAGAATGAGACTGGCGCGCAGCTGACCGACCAGGTAGCTCTCGCCATCCTTGAACTCCCAACCAACCTTCTCGACAGCCGGTGTAATCAGCTTGAGGTGGTACTTCCTCAGAGCCTCACTGATGTCTTCGCTGCCGGAGAAGACGCTGCGGACATTACCTACATTGGTAAGGATCTGAGACCAGACGAGGTAGTCGGATTCATCCTGGAAGCGCTCCGCTAGTGCAAGCAGCCCAGAAGTGGAGCCATACCCGGCGACGGCGTTGGCATACGCATCGCCGATAAGGCCAATCTTGTCTTGCACGCTGAGCTGGTCACGGGATTCACCAAGCTTCTTCAGGCGCTCTGGAGGGTAGTTGGTTCGGTAGAAACCAGTGAGGTTCTTGTTGAGCTGGTAGAAGCCGGAGTTGACATCGCGGACAGTATCCTCTTTTTGGGTCAGAGCAGTGGCCTTGTGTACGGATGCAGTAGCGGCCGAATCGCCAGTATGGAGACCCAATGGGATCCACCAAGTAGTCTGGTCCTCTTCAGGCTTGACGTTACCTGCGAGAAGGAAACGTTGCTGGCGGATGCCGATCTGGCCTGGCTCTTCGGCAACAGTGACAACGGGGAAGCCTATCTTGCGAACCCAGAAGTCCATAAAGCTGTTGACATCTTGGCCAGAAGCCTTACTCAAGGCAGACCATAGATCATTGGTAGTTGCATTGGAGTACTGGTGAGCCTTGAGGTAGTCGGCCACGCCTTGCAAGAAGACCTTCTCGCCAAGGTGAGCACTCAGCATGCGGATGACGGAAGATCCCTTTAGGTAAGAAATGTGATCGAAGATCTGGTCAACCTCGAGGCCGTCGTACACGGGCACTTCAATGGGGTGAGAGGTGCGTAACGCGTCAAGAGCGAAGGCTTGTTGCACGGAATCAGTCTGGGAGGAACGTCAGCAGGCTAGCAGAGTGTATACCTCGAGATTTGTGACGTACGACAAACTGTCCCCAAACGTTCCATTCTAGCTTCCTGTTAGCAAGTGCTTTAAAGGTTAAAGGCAAGAAGCATACCGGGATAAAGATGGTCGATGGCAAACCATCCGACCCAGGTAGCAAAACCCTCGTTGAGCCAGAGCTCATTCCACCAGTCCATGGTGACAAGGTTTCCAAACCATTGGTGGGCAAGCTCGTGAGCTACAACATAAGCCACCCGGTTTCGGTAGCTGTCTGCGGATGTGGCGGGGTCGAAAAGTACTGCGGTAGTTCTGCGGACATTAATATCATGTCCAGACAATTTAGAAATCGAAGCTTACCGGTAGGTGATGAGACCCCAGTTCTCCATGGCGCCGTGTGACTAGGAAGCAAAGGTCAGCCTTATGTAGGGATGAGAGAGGGGCTACACGTATAATTGGCTGAAGAGTCAACGTGATGCTTCGTACGCTTCGCCATGCTACTTACAAATTCATGAACAGCCAGCAGATCAACCTTGGGCAAGGGGTAGTCAATCTGGAAGACTTCTGAGAAATAGTCCACAATTTTGTGGCAGTTGTCCAGGGCAAAGCGTCCTTGCTCCTTCAGACCACGGGTGGTGTAGACTCTGACTGGAATGTTCTTGCCGTTGTACTTGCGCTCGGTGAAGGCCTCGACATATTCAAAGTCACCAACAGCCCATGCCAAGAGGTAGGTCGACATGACAGGCGACTTCTCGAATACAACCGTGTGAAAGCCGTCCCGCTTGCTTGGCTTGGTCTCCTTCTCGGGCATGTTGCTGAGCGCGACCTGGTCCTTTGGCACCTCGAGCTCAACATCAAATGTAGCCTTGAGGTTGGGTTCATCGAAACAAGGGAATGCGCGGCGAGCATCGCAGGCTTCGAATTGGGTGCTGAACATGTAGTGGAACTCGTCGTCCTTGGCTACGGAGGCTGGAACGTCTCCCTTGGGCTTGTACTTGGAACGGTAGAAGCCGGCCATGACATTGTTGATAGCGCCCTGGAACTTGATTTCAAGCTCAGCCTCGCCAGTGTAGGTGATGTTGTCACCAAAGTCGAGCGTGACCTGCTGCCTCTTCTCATCGTATGTAATGTCCTTTGCAGAGTGTGTCTTGTCGCCAGTCTTCAATTCCGCGCCGTGCAGCTTGAGCTGGTGCGCGTTCAGAACCAGGGTGCTGAAGCCGTCGTCCTTGGTAATCTTTGTGTTGATCTTGACGGTACCCTGGTATCCGAATTTGCCACCGAATTCGATGTCGTAGAGGGAGAGAACATAGTGCGAGGGTTTGACCCTATGCGGCAATTGTCAGCATCTCGTCATGGCGATGCTATCTCAGCACGTGTGGTGCTAGAGACTGACCATGAGGGGAGAACGTCGCGGTCGGAAGCCATGTTGGCGAAGCTGCTGGTGACCTCGCTCTGGCAGAATCTCTTTTGGATGCTAAAGGTGCCTGCCTGTGCAGCTGCAAACCGCGGTCGAAGTCGCAATTGGGCTCGAGGGGCAGACGGAAGCTCTCGAGCTGCTGACGAGAGGTTTCTAGAGCGCTCAAGGTGGGCTGTGAATAGTAGACGCGAAGTGGATTGGGGGGCGAGCCGGACGCGGATCGAGTGTCGAGAGCAGAGTCTCGCAGAAGCAGAGAGGACAGCCAGCTTGAAGCACGAAAGAGGGGCTGGATCACTCGATGGCGGGATTCAATGGCACAAGATGATGCATGAGGGCTGAGAGGGGAAGGTGCGCGTGCGGCAGGCCGAATGCCCCACCTCTGCCATGATCCCTGCGGCCGGGTGTTTAGCGCGGGGCCCTGAGATGCATCTGGTCGCCATCGACACGGCCTGTGAAGGCATTCGGCCTTTGTGTGGTGCCAACAGACAAGACATGCCATCAAGCCCGCTTGCAGAGCTGGAAGGCTGCGTTGCCGATACCCTGCTCGGCCGCTTCCACCAGGTCCATGGGCGCCTCGCCGTGGTGGCCCTTTTCCCCTGCCCTCGACGCGTGGCTTACATCACACGCGAACGCGAACCAGTGAATAGCAGTAAATGGTGTTTTTTTTGGATAGTATGTAGTGATCCCTATTACGCCATGCAAATGCTTCAAACACACGCCCAGTCATGCAGTGATATCTTATCCATCCAATCAAGCCGTCCTCGTTCACAAACGCCGCCCAAGCCTACGCATTCCCAAGGGCGGGCTGCCACGTATTGTATTGCATTCATTGCTGCTCACACTCTGATGAGTACATCGAGACATTGAATCCGCCATTCCTTTTTCCCCAGCAGGCCCTTGACCCACTCGTAACTCTGCGCATCGCTCGCCTGGCCCAGGCCGACCTTCCCCTTGACGCCGTCTATGGCAGTCTTCACCACAACTTGTGCCGTGTGGTTCGCCGCCTGCGCCAGCACACTGGCTGTTTCTGAGACGGTTCCATTGAGTGCCAGTTCCGCGCTATCCGACAGCGGCGCATCAAACCACGGCGTGTGAAAATCGAAGAGCGCGACGACGAGAATGAAGAGGAGGAGTGAGCAATACACACACGGCCGGTTCAGGAAGTACGTGGCCGATATGAAGAGCACGAGGTAGACGGGCGAGGCATGAGTTCGCAGTCTGTGAATGGCGGTAAGTATGTGCATGGGGTTGCCGTCGAGGGGCAATGGGTACGACTGACAAGAAGAAAAGCACCGGTATCCAGCTTCGCAGGCAAAACATGGTGTGTTGTGTCGGGGATCGAGGCAGTGTCGTTTGCCAGGCGCGCACACACGCTCTCGTCTTTGGGCGTCTTGGAGTATAGTCTTCCCTAATCGTGTGGGGAGAAGCGGCGGTCTGCCGTCAGCGCGCAATCAGACACGGGTGTGGCGAAGCGGAAACCGTGAGCGAAGGTATTAATATGGGCTACGAGGGCAAAAAAAGGGTGCAGCGGCTGTCAGTGAAGGCGAGTAGAGCGGAGATGCTGGCGGCGGACTAGGGTCGGTTGATGAACAGGCACCCCCGACGCCGTAGGTGGGTGGCGCCTGCATACAGACACTGGCACTGGTGCAGGCAACCCTCGTGCTCACGTGCTTCAGCCCGGCCAGCCTCCATGACGCAACATGGCTGATGGGCGCTGCGCACTCTCTTCCCAGCAATGCGCCTTTGCGTGGCCTGCAACTCGTTGCCGCCCGCGCGAGCAGCTACGTAAGACACTTGTCCACGTATGCGCGGCCGGCAATGACTCGGTTGCCCGTCACGTGCTTGGGTCATGGAACCGAACGCGACAGACGTCCGCCATTACCACATGTCAACATCGTTTCATTGGTATCTTCCTACAAGCGCCGTCTACCCTTTTTTCTTGGTGCGTCTCCGGACATGCGCAACACCCATCCAAGGAGCCACCGCAAACGCATACCTAACCATGGTCCAACCCCTGTCCGTCTGTCAAAATGCCCATTAAACGCCCCCCAAGCAGTTATGCCAGTACACGAAGCCAAAATGACGCCGAATTCGGCCGCCGGCAGCAGAAAAGAGCAGCGTTCGCGGACAATCCTCTATACGGGCAAGTTGAACTTCTTGCCTTGGACGACCCTGTGAGGTGGTGCTGTTAGCCGTCTGACGTGCGCTGACCAGCCCAGCACCGCGACTTACTTGGTATAGTAGATGTAGAAGAAATCAGAGTAGAGAATAGTCTGGATGATGCCAGCAATCACAGCAATTGGGTCGTAAAACCGGGGTACTTCGAAGAAGTAGCGGTAGATCCAGTTGGGAATGTACAGCGCCCTGTACGCGCCCAGCGCAAAAAGATAGTGCGTCGTAATTGTCTCGGCCTCGCCCGTCCTTTGTAGCATGAAAAGCTGGGGCAGAATCGCGACCGACTCCAGCCAGATGGAAAAAGCCCAGAGAATCTGTGTGCCCTGTTAGCATGACTGCCTCAGCGCGGTGAGACACGCCATACCTCCGAGAACGTGTACTTGTACGGAAACAATATCGCCAACACAGCGCTCGCTCCCAGCAGATACTGCACCTTGAAAGTGTCCAGGTTCGGGTCGTGCGTCGGTTTGTAGTCATTGAGCATCAGGTACACAGTGTACGCCGACGAGCTGATGAAGACGATTTTGAAAACCGTGTTGTAGAGAGCCGACGGCTCGTAAAAGGTCCACAGGAGGTCGACGTAACGCGTGAGATAGACAATCAGGTAGAGAAATTGCGATTTGAACGAGATGCCAGAAGCGCTCTGCCGACGCGTTAGCTCCAGTCATTGCGCCGCAAGACACGAATGCATCGACCCACGCTCGAAGTCTTCATTTTATGCAGAAGGATCAGGATGGAGAGCAGATGGGATAAATCCGCTGTGGGCTCGTCAGCATTGCCATCACGCTTCAGAGGGCGCCCTCTCGAGTCGCGCAGGCCCTCGCTCGTCAATCTGCATACCCAAGAGTCGGAAGGGATTCATCGTGGCGGCCGGTGTGTCGCTGGGCGCTTCCTGCAGAGCAGCAAATGTTTGGCGACTGAGGGTGGTTGGTGTGTGGAGAGATTTACTCTTGTCACAATAAAAAGACACGTTCCGGCAGCAGTGCACGTAGGGATGAAGCTACGTAATCCTTGCGCGCCAAGACACACCCTTGTCAGGAACGTCACCTCTGATCGACGCCCGCTCCCGCAGCGGTTCGCATAACAGGTTGCTATTCACGGGAAGCTCGCGGCTGGCTGGGGTTATACCTGCTGAATAACTACCTACCCCTGTGAGAAACATTGTCGCCTACTTTGGTCCACGCCGTTGCATGTGCTGCACTGGGAACGACGCGGCTCCGCGAGATAAACCGCGCTAGCTTTGGCGTATCTCGAGGTTCCAGTAAATGACCAGGAACACTACCGTTTCATCCAGCCCACCGCTACCATGGCCTACCTGCTGGGCTGGAAAGACATACTGCGACCGATTCGTGATGGATACCGCCACTTGTTCCCCATGCCAGACACCGGGCCGACGCCTGATGAGAGACGCAAACAGCGTGATTTGGATCGGCTCAAAGGCTTCACATACTTCGACACATTTGACCAGCTGGAGTCATGGGTAGAGGGGGATTCTGACCCTCCCCAAAGAGCCAATACGCCGCGCCTACGAACAAAGGATCGAAATGTCCACGACGACCCCGGCAAAGCACGTGTTCTGTTGATCCACGACTACTCGGGCAACTACCATGCATATGAGAGCGTGCAAGCGACCGGTGTGGAAAAAGAGCTTTATTCATGTGGATATCTTCAATTCATCAATGTGTTCATCTACTTCTCACACAAGCTGGTATGCGTGCCCCCGCCAACATGGACGAATACGCTGCATCGGAATGGGGTAGAGGTTTTGGGCACCATCCTGATTGAGCCGCAAATCGAGGGCTCTGAACGCCTCCTACAGTACACAGTTGACGGGGGCGATATGCACTTTCCATTGGCAAAAACATTAGCAAGCATTGCCACACATTATGGCTTCGACGGCTGGCTAGTGAACATCGAAAAGGCATTCCTGAACGATACTTGGAGTGTCGAGACCCTTGAGGCATTCCTTTGCCAGCTGAAGAACGAGATGAGTGAGGGAATGAGGCTTATATGGTAGGCATCTTCCTCTATCAATCAGACTTTGAGATGATATAACAGTAACCTAGGTATGATGCTCTTACCGCGTCGAACAAGATTTCGTATCAAAATGCACTCAACACATCCAACATCAAGTTTGCCACGGCCTGTGGAAGTATACTCACAAATTACTGCTGGAAAGATGCTGATGCTGAGAACTCCCTTGATCTCGCTCTTTCAATTAAATTTCCGCCTCAAAACATTTTCTTCGGCATTGACGTATGGGCACAGAATAAGTCGAGTTTCACCCACCCACGCGTTACGTATCCCGAATATGGTGGAGGTGGCACAAACACTGGCGTAGCTGTTGCTAGGCTCGCAGAGTTGGGCCTATCAGCAGGCATATTTGCCCCAGCATGGTCGTTTGAGCATTTCCCGGGCCATGGCCTGGATATTGAACATGCAGTTTGGGAGGGAACTCCGCTCGCAGAAGATATAGAATGCTCTTGCGGGGATTGCTCATCCCGCCATCAAGCAAACGAAAGTTCTGCACTCTTGAAGACTGCGGAAGAGAGGACAGTTGGCTCGGAAAGCTTCTTCTTCACTGATTTTGATCGCGCTTTCGCTGTGCACGATGACAAAGCAAACGACCTGTTTAACGGCTACAGCACCCATGCACAACTAGGCAGTCAGTCTATCCTTCCTTGTCCGATGATGTTTAGGGACAGCAATCAGCCTGTTCAGCTTCGGCATTATCTGGAGAACGCGAGCTCTTCTAGCCTGGTAATTGAAGCTGTGCAAAACCAACCAAACGTGGACGACTCGCTCGAAGTATGGCTTCCACTTTTCAAAGTCAACATGCCGGCAGACGGATCGTTACAGGTTGAAATAGGTAGTTTAAACAGGTCATTCCCTCCAACAAGCCGCGCTACTGTCAGCTTCTACCTTCGTACTACGGAGAGTGCTCATCTTTTGACTATCGCACCTGGAAAGCAGCTGGAGCGAACAGCAAGCACACCAAAATCATCGACACCCAACACACGTATTCAAGAGCTTGGAATTCATGTGAAAGGTTCACTTGACGCAAGTCCGGGACAGACTATGCGGCTGCTAGAGATTACCGCAATCCGTATCGTGCCCATATCTGCTTTGGATATCTCGCCATCCTGCTCCATCGACCAACTGCGACTTGAGAAACAGGGTGAAGGAGACTGTGAGCATGTACGGCTATGTTGGAGCTTCAGCACGAGCCCAAGAACCGAGCAGAAAAACACAGGAATTCCCCATAGCCACATTACAGGCCCTTTCTCGCATTTTGCCATCTACGTCGATGGAATGATGCTGGGCAAAGCGTATTCGTTGGTGTACATACTGCAAAACACATTTATCGAGAAAAATACCGGAAAGACAGTCCAGTTTGAGCTTATTGGTATAAGCTTCGACGACCGAATCCTCGCAAAGAAAAGCGAAAACTTGTGCTTATAAAACGGACTTCAAAGTATGTCGGATTCTGTGCGAATTTGATGGTTGGGCTAAAATTTCACTAGCGTATCAGCGACGTCATCGACTGGTATATACTTTTCCTCGTCGCATCTCTGCTTGTGTACAATGTACCACTGAATGCCGGGATGATGAGAGTTCTAGCTTGGAGGCTGGCAAAATCTTATTGTTCGCTGCCACGGTTACGCTACCCGCTGCATAGATCCCCGTTCTTCACATCGTCACAACCCCGACTACTTCACGCATCCGCAATCACGATGAGTCCATCGAAGCGCAAGGCCGGAAAGGATGAATCGCCTCCTAAACCAAAGAAGCCAAAGACTGAAACACCTGCCTATCACCTCGCACCGTCGCGACAAGATGATAGTGGTCAGATAATATGGCCGGCGAGGCGCCCACAAATCGAACGCGCACGTGAGATTATCAGGGAATGGTAAGCTGCATGCATGACATAACCAATATCTGCTAAATATCAACAGTGCTGCGGCCCAGAAGCCGACTGTCATCATCCCAGACAAGGATGCAGATGGCCTTTCCTCTGGTGCTATACTTCATCACACCCTTACTACTCTCGGTCTATCATCTGATCGTATATCTGTGTACTTTCCCCCAAAGGGCTCTAATGTACATGACGATGGCACAAAACAAGCGCTTACTGCCATGTCACCAACATATATCTTTGTCTTGGACCAGGGCAGCAGAAAGAGTCCACCTCTGATTGACTTGCCACATACATGCGTTGTGATAGACCACCATTTTGCAGATGAAGGAGGATTTCCAGAGGGTGCCGAGTATGTCACAGCCCACGACTACCCGCCAGTCGCGACTAGTGCTCTTTTGACATACAACATCTGCGTGCCTCTGCATCCGGCCTTGGGCGACAAGATCTCGTGGCTCGCTGCTTTGGGTACTCATGGCGACCTAGGAAACACCATCAAATGGGAGCCCCCATTTCCGGATATGAAGGCTACCTTCAAACAGCACACGAAGAAGGCTGTCAACGATGCAGTGGCCCTGGTAAACGCGCCGCGACGGTCAGCAGCTTACAACGTCGAGGATGCGTGGGATGCGGTGCTCTCTGCAGAAAACCCTGGCTCTGTTGTCAAGAATGAAAAGCTTCGTGATGCATCTTTGGAGGTACGACGTGAGACCGACCGCTGCACACGTGTGCCGCCCAAGTTCTCCGCAGACGCCACCATCGCCCTTCTCTCGATATCCTCAGCTGCGCAGATTCATCCCGTCATCGCGACCCGCTGGTCGGGTACGCTCAAGTCGAGCAAGCTGGAGATTGTCATGTGTGCAAACGAGGGCTATCTCCCGGACAGAGTCAATTTCTCGTGCCGGGTAGCTAAATGTGCGCGAGCGAGGGAAGGAGAGGAGAAGATTGATATCATCAAGAAGCTTGAGAGCATTGTTGCCGAAGACAAAGATCTTAGAGCAAGACTTGGAGAAAGTTTTGCAAGGGGCCATAAAGAAGCCAGTGGCGGCATCGTGGGAAAGCAAGAGTGGGAAGAGTTGAAGAAACTAATGGGCATCGGTGAGCGTACAAAGACGGAGGCTAGTACAAAGACAGAGGCTCGTACGAAGAAAGAGACGCCAGTGCAGAAGAATACGCTGGCCAACTACTTTGGCAAGACTGAAAAGGTAGAGAGCGTATAGATGAGACTTACAATTTCCCCCGATCATGCACACAGCCAAACCGCACCGTCGTTTCTCACTGTATGCAGGAGCGCAGTGAAACACAGGACAAGTCAAACAGCTGCAACTGCATGTGGAGACGGTCAATCTATGCTACCATGTCGGAAATGAGCATCTCAGCCAATGACACGTCTTGATATTGTCGATAGACTCGCAACCGGCGTGTCGGCCTCGAAGCCGGAAGATGAAGGCTTGGCATTGAAAACGCAGAACAGCAAACCGTTCTAGCCGCTTCGTCGCGTTTCATATATCGACGACCAGCCTTGGTGGGTGGCAGCATTGCCCAGGATGTCGGCTGATTACCTACCGACATGACGGCCACACGCACTGGAGTCTGGACAGAACAGGTCGGGAAGATGCAAGGCATGGATATAAATCGGGCAACAAATTGCATGTCTTGGGGGATGCCTTTTCAGGCGGCATCCGCTTCGTCCGCGGTGTGCCAAATGACCAGCGACAATAAATCGCCTCTCATATAGACTGGCAGCGCCTTGCATCCGAAACGACGCCAAATGATGCAACGAGCGCCAGAATACTCAGTGCCGTGCCGAATCCGGCAAATTCTGGGGCGTGCAGCAGCGCGCCCGCAAATGGGCGTCGTGGATGCAAATTGAGTGCTGATGAGCACGCGCTATGCAAACTGGCGCCAAGAAAGCTTGGTTGGAGCAACGCAATCTATACCAGTGAGGACTATGGCTGTGGCAACAAAGTCACACACATTCAGGCGTTCGGGCGTGGTGACTGCGGGGCAATGCAACTGGTATCACGGCCCGGGTCGAATCGAATCCTCCACTGGTAGATTGGTAGCCCAGCGCACGATGTCAGGTTGAGAAGGAATAAATAGGCTGGCGTTTGACCTTGAACTGGGACGATACAGCGCAGACAACAATTTACTTTTTTCAGACTTCTCGCTGGCCTACTGTACTTGGATCTCTCTCTCTCTCTCTCTCTCTTACACATATCTTCAGTCATCAGTCATGAAGTACTCTACCATTCTCCTCGCCACGGCCGCCACCGTCTCCGCCCACTCGACATGGCAGCAACTGTGGGTTGGCAGTACAGACAAGGCCAGCACCTGTGTGCGCACCGTCAAGGACAACAGCCCCATTGACAGCCTCTCTTCCTCGGACATGTTCTGTGGCCGTGGCCCGGCCTCGTCCTCGGGAGTCTGTGAAGTCGCCGGTATGTTTTCACTCCGCATTCCCGAAGCACGAAACCAGGCCTATCCCTTCCCACTCACTCACTCACTCACTCGCCCACTCATCCACTGTCTCTGTGCAAGAAAGCTAATCCATTTCACAGCCGGCGGCTCCCTCACCGTCGAAATGCACGCGCAGCCCGGCGCGCGCTCGTGCTCGCAGCCCGCCATCGGCGGCAACCACTACGGCCCCGTGCTCATCTACATGGCCAAAGTCAGCGACGCCAAAACCGCAACGTCCGGCTCCTTCTTCAAGGTGGCCGAGGACGGGTACACGGGCACCACGGCGTCATGGGGCACCGAGATCCTCAACGCAAACTGCGGCAAACGCTCCTTCACGGTGCCGCGCTCGCTGGCCGCCGGCGACTATCTCGTGCGCGCCGAGGCCATCGCCCTGCATGCTGGTGCCGGAAGCCCGCAGCCCTACGTCAGTTGCTTCCAGGTCAAGGTTACCGGTGGAGGCAGCGCCACGCCTTCGGGTGTCAGTTTCCCCGGCGCATACAAGATTAGCGATGCGCTCTTCTCCAAGTCGATTTATGACTCCAGCTTCAAGTATGTGAGCCCTGGACCCGCTGTGTACTCTGGTTAGAAACATATATTCAAGGACGACTTTGCTTGTTACATCCTCTCTTGTTTGAGGGGGGGGGGGAAGGTAAGGAGGAAGAAGAAGAAGAAGAAGAAGAAGGACCAGGAAGGGGGGAATGGCATTCTTTTCTTCTTTCCCAAAGTGCTAGCAGGCAAAGCAGCAGCTGCAGGCCCCCTTTTTCCACTTTATTCTAGATAGAAATTTCCCAAACAAGACTCTCTTTCTTTCTTTTTTCCTTCCATGATTTTTTGGTCGGGGGAGAAAAAAAAGAAGTATTTATATATCCACACAAATGAATAAATATACCACTTGTACCAATTTCCCAGATATATCTTTCTTTCTTTCCCCCTTCCACCCTTTTCCCCTTCTTCTTCTTCTTCTTCTTCTTCTTCTTCTCTTCCAATCCAACTACTCCCCCCTCGCCACAACCCCATCATACCCCAACACAGCATCCAGCAGCACCTGCGCGCCAACCGCACAATGCTCGGGACGCGTATACTCGTCGGGATTATGACTAACACCCCCTTTACTCGGCACAAAAATCATACAAGTCGGGACGACGCGACTAGTCCACGCACTATCGTGTCCCGCTCTGCTCTTGATGCGCATAACGTGGTGTTCACCCACACAGGCAACGGCGGCGTTGTGCACGGCATCGATGCAGGTGGTGTGGAATTTGGATTCGGGGAGCCCCCAGGTGCGCTGGATGGTGTATGTAGTGTGGTTTTGCTCTTGGGCGATGATGGCGTCGAAGGCGGTGAAGATGGCGGTGGAGAGCTGGGATACCAGATGGTCGCTGAGACAGCGGATGTCGATGATGAAGGTGACGCCGCCGGGGATCGTGGCTTGGGACGCTGTATCGCTGGTTATCACGCCGACGGTAGCAACGCCTAGGCCCGAGCTGAGTGCCGTGTCGCGGACGGCAGTGATGAGGCGCGAAGCCGTAACAAGGGCGTCTGCTCTGTCGGCCATGGGCGTCGTCCCGGAATGAGCTTCTGTGCCCGAGACGCGGATGCTGTACCATTGCATTGCTTGGACGCTTTCAACAACCCCAATTGTTTTGCCGGCTTGCTCCAACAGCGGGCCCTGTTCAATGTGCAGTTCAAAGTGTGCTTCGAGGCTGTTTTCAGCATGTGAGCAGGGTGTTGAGCCTAGGTACCCTGTTTGCTGTAGGGCGTCTTTGAGGGCGATACCGGCACTGTCGCGTGTAGCCCAGCAGGCTGACAGTGGCGTCGACGAGTGCTGGCTCCAGACGCCAGACGCCATCATTGCGCCGGGGAAGCGGGCGCCTTCTTCGTTGGTCCAGTTGATGAGTGCAACGGGGCAGTGAGTCGAGATGTTGTTTTCATGCAGCGTTCGCAGGACTTCGAGTCCAGCTTGCACCCCGAGAATCCCGTCGTATCTGGATCCTGTCAGTTATCTTGTTGTGTGAGGCTGGAGAGTCGTTGCAGAGAGCCCGTACCTCCCGCCTGCGGGTTGCGTGTCCATATGGCTGCCCATGCCAATTGGCTTCTTGTCGTTTGCCGTGCCCGCACGTATGGCGAAGATGTTTCCCATTTGATCAATCTTGACGTCGCATCCCAGGCTCTTGCATTCGGCGACTAGCCAGTCCCTTGCAGCTTGGTCTTCTGGTGTGAGCGTGAGACGACACATGCCTGTTGAAGGAGCTGCAAGAGCGCCATATTGCGTGCATGTATCTTGGAGCGTGGCATTGAGCCTCTCTGCGTTGATTTTGAGATTTCCAGATGCCATGGTAGTTTTGTGATCCGCTTTGATTTTGATATCTCCAGATGCTATTGCACTTCTCTTCGCTTGGCTCTGCAACCGTAAATATTAGCAAAAACCCAAGTATCAATAAGTAGTGGTGTAATTAGCTTGCATCTAGCATTGGTCGCCTATGACAGCATAGTATGACTGTACAAACATTGTTATTCTTTCCTCGGCGGGGATACGCGCTGGGCCGCTGATAAGGGCGTGTATTCAAAGGTGGGGTGGGGTAGGCAGTGCGGGTGAGGGGTTGAAGATATGCATCCACCTTCCTTTCTCAAGCTGGGTTACTTGGCCTTTTGACTACGTATGTACAGAATAGCCAGCAGCGTGTTGGGATGGACTGGTGAAGCATAGTTTTGTTTTGCTGGGTACTGGAAATAGCAAGAGACTGGGATAACCAGGATACTGAAGCATAACGACACTGAGCAAGCAAGACTGGACAACCCATACTACATAATCACGACACTGGAACTGATCAAGAGACTGGAATAACCACAACCGGACAATCAAATCACGGAACCATAGCGACACTTGACACATCACCACACTCAACAATCACGACTAAGTAGTCGCTCAAGATCCCAAACGAATCACAAGACCATATCAGCCCCCCAGAAAAAAAAACATGACCACCTACGACATGCTAATCCTCAACGGACTCGTCGTAACCGAAACCAGCATCTCGGCGTCCGACATTGGGATTGTGGGTTCGAAAATCGCCAAAGTGGGACCGCGAGGCAGCTTCAGCGAAGCTCGCGCTCTGCGGACCATTGACGCAGAGGGCGGGTACGTTACGCCGGGGGGTGTCGATGCCCACGTGCACGTGCAAGAGCCGCCGTTGTTCGGGCAAGGCAGCACGGCCGACGACTACGAGAGCGGGAGCCGGTCGGGCGTGTGCGGGGGCACGACGAGCATGATTACGTTTGCGGTGCAGAAGAAGAGCGAGGATTCGGTGCTGGATACGGTTGCGGCGACGCATGAGCGCGCGAGGGGAAACTGCTATATTGACTATGGGTTCCACGTGATTGTGGGAAACCCGTCGGTGACGGCGCTGTCCGAGTTCAGGGCGCTGAGGGACTTGGGGGTTTCGTCGCTCAAAATCTACATGACGTATGCTGCGTTGCAGCTGCACGATGGCCAGATTCTCGATGTGCTGCTCGAGGCGCGCAACCAGGGCATAACCACCATGGTGCATGCGGAGAACGGACAGGTCATAGACTGGATGACGGCACAGCTCGAGAAGCAGAGGCGCTTTGAGCCCAAGTACCATGCATCGGCGCATCCGCCCATGGCCGAGACAGAGGCGACGTACCGGGCCATCAGCCTTGCCGAGTTTGTGGATGCTCCCATGCTCATTGTGCATGTGTCGGCACCGGGCGCTGCGCTGCACATCCGCCAGGCCCAGGACCGCGGGCTGCCCGTCTATGCCGAAACGTGTCCGCAGTACCTGTTCCTGACGGCACACGACCTGGCGGCGCCGGGCTTCGAGGGGGCCAAGTGCGTGTGCTCGCCGCCGCCGCGCGCGAGCCAGGCCGACTGCGATGCCATTTGGAGCGGTCTGGCCGATGGCACCTTCACCATCCTGTCGTCAGACCACTGTCCGTTCCGCTACGACGACGCTGAGCACGGCAAGAAGTCGAGTGTCACGGCCGAGTTTCCATTGGGCCACTTCAAGTACATCCCCAACGGGTGTCCCGGGATAGAGACGCGACTCCCCCTCACGCTGAGCGCAAACCGCATCTCGATGCAGCGCTTCGTCCAGGTCACGGCGGCTAACCCGGCAAAGCTATATGGCCTCTACCCTCGCAAAGGAGCACTGACCGAGGGCGAGTCAGATGCCGACGTCGTGATTTGGTATCCTGAAGGGGCGATGAAGCGCTTTGTGTTGACGAATGACATGCTGCATCACAATGTGGATTATACGCCGTTTGAGGGCGCTACAATCACGCAGTGGCCCAGGTATACGCTTCTCAGGGGACGGGTCGTCTGGGACAGAGATGACGGGGGACTGCTGGGCGAGAAGGGCTATGGGCGCTTCTTGAAGAGGGAACAGAGTAGTCTGGCGAGGCCGAGGGTGGCGGGCGAGTGGGTGCTGCCGCTGTAGTTGATGTGAATGCAGACGTACATAAGCCCAGACGATGATTTGCTGGTATTAGTTGCCATGTCCCACCATCTTGGCGCTGGTCTGGACGTCACCCCACGCGTATAAAGCTGATGATGGGATGATTGCCGCGCACTGGTGCACCTGAATAGTAAAAAAGCATATGTATCATACCTGGTTGCCGGTAATTCCAATCGCCATTATCAAACTCAAATTTGTGGATCCAGTACATTCTTGCTACGCATAGTCATGACAAGAAGCAGTCCGCGACGTAATGGAAAATACAGGCCTCGGCTGCATCGTGAGTGCATGTGTGTGTGTGTGTGTGTGTGTGAGTGTGTGTGCAATGGCCAAATGACCTCACAGCTCCTCGAGATCCTCGTCACCCATGTCGAGCGGCGGGAAATCACCCGCCTCGCAGCGCTCAGGGCGCACAAACACGCCACAGTTGTTGCTGCACTCAAAGTATCGCTTACCCTTGACTGAGCCATCATTCTTGCCAGTCGGCTCGTCCAGCGTAACTCCGACCCAGACACCAGTGCCGGGGATCTCTGGCACCAAGCCAATGTACGATATGGTGCCACGCCGTGCGTCTGACTCGGGAAGTAAACGAACGCGACTCGATACGGAAAGACCTACGAGGATGCGTCAGTGGTGGCTCTGTAACTATTGGTGTGGGCCAGGTGGTAAAGTTGAATGTCTGCATTTGCCAACACGTAGCGAGGGCGAATGGACGCTGTGATTGAGTTTTGTGTCATGCAGGCCAAAGTCACCCATCTGCCTCTCGAGCACACCGATGGCATGGATGGCAGGGAACTAAACGCCCGTTGTGAGGGGGGCACACTTGGGGGCCGAACGGGGAAGCCATCGGCAATCGACCATGCAAGAGCGGACGAACGAGGTTCCCAAGCGACGCGGTAATGCGCGAACATGGAGATTGCGCTGCGCCCGTCGTGGTCAACAAAAAGTGAAGAGGCCATGACACTGGCTCATTTCACAAAAGCTTCCATGGCTGTGGCGCTATAGTCGAGGCGGGCCGCAGCAGCCGTTCGCCACGAGTTTACAGCGGCGTTCGGTAGCCACTGTAATCGGCATATGGGTTTGCAGCGTCGACGCATCAAGGCTGGAAGCTGAGGCTGATGGCACGTCTATCATGGCGTTTTGAGTTTCGGGGAGCTTTGTTCCGGTGCCTTGGCCCCAGCGGGACGGGTAGCGAGACGAGACGAAAGGGTTGAAGCGAGTGAAACATGAACGATATCGGGAGACACACAAAGAATCCAGATAACACGTCTGGGAAAGTGTGGCCTCGTCGATTGGGCCTGTTAGACGCGGGCGCATTTGTCATTGGGTGCCTGGGCCCAACCAGGCTCAGGGTGTCATGCAGCCTGCTGCAAAGAGTAGTAGGCTTGTGTGACAACGCCGTGTGGTGGTTGCGCGCTTATTTGCTTGTTGATGGACGGTGGTTCATGACGGAGATGAAGCGTGCAAGCAGCCATGGCCATGGAGAGTTTTGCGGCCCTCTAGTCTGGCTGGGCATGTTTGAAGCATGTTTGTTGTAGTTGAAAAAAAAGGGGAATGGCAAATACGAGCAAAGCAATGTCGTCGATGATCAACAAGTCGCCCGTAGTTGCTTTTTCGTAGTTCAGGTCGCGAGGTGGCACAATCGTACGAGCCTGAAACATGCAGAGGAAAGACGAAGGGACTTTTTTTTTGTTTTGTTCGCTTACCTCTTTCTTCTACCTCGCGCTCCGAGGCGCGAATCTTTTGTTGTTCTATGCTGGGAGCATTTGGATCGAAGCGCCCAAGCTTTTGAGCCTTCTTCCATGCGAGAACACTATCGGTCCGATGCTCGTACTCTGCCGCCGGCATTTCGTACTTTTCGACGGCTGACAGGTCGCTAAAGTCTGTACGGGCAGCGGGCGGGCGCGTGTCTCCAACCTAAAGGCAACATGTCAACAGCAAAGCACCAGTGCAAGGGCGGCGTGTGATGGCGGGGGGGGGGAGATGGGGGCAGGGAGCCAAGAAAGGGACGATGAAGCTGAGGAGCAGAAACGTGTGCAGGGGTCGGGTCATGAGGCAAGATGAGGTGTCAAATAAGACCGAGGGGGCCGAGGGGAAAAGAAAAAAAAAGGAGGGCATGGAGGACGGAAAGCGCCATGCTGAGGATTCCGGGTTCCGTGGCCAGGTGTGGGTAGACGATGGGCGGAGGAGCCGAAGGACTGGATTCCCCGTGTTTGGCAGGCTGACAAAGATGGATGGTGCATTGCGGGGCAGGGCGGGCATGCGGACATGACACGACGTGGGGAGGCGACGAGGCCAACCATGGGCATGGAGTGAATAGAGTCGAGCGGGCTCAAGGGTGCAAGGAGATGTGGCAGTCGGCGAGAGGACAGCATCGCAGACGGGCCAGGGACAGGGCCTGGAGAGGGGCATGCAATGAGAGGAGAGAAAGAAGAAAGCACTTACGCTTATCTCCGCATACGGCTGCAGCGGGAAGGCAGCAAGACACGTCTGGTGCTCATCGGGGGCGGTCATGGGCAGGGCATCTTGGGAGGCGACGCGCAACGACAGCTGCTGACAGGCTGCAGGAATGCCCGTGATGGGTTCGAGGCGGGCCTTGAGGTGGGCGATGGTCCAAGACGGCGAAATGCGACGTTCCGACGACGAGTTGGGCGAGCTAACAAGGAGCGGGATGTCGGGGGTGCTCTGGAGAGACATTGTGGCGGGCGGCTAGCGGGCGAGGAGAGGTAGAGCGAGATGAAGGGGCGGTAGTGGCAGTGGTAGTGGCAGTGGTGGTGATGGTGTTAGTGTGTTGGCGTTGGCGGCGGCGGCGAGGGCGGCAGCGGCAGGCAGCGTGGTGTTGAGGATGCGATGGGAGAATGGGCTAGGAGGGGCTAGTGGGGGCTAGCGTGGCAGCCGCGGTGCAGCAGGAGCGCAGGTCGAGCAACGACACGGCGGGGCCAGACTACGGCTACGGTACATAACAACTGCTGCTGCTGCTGCTGCTACTCTACGAGCACTATACGGGCCATACTATACGGGCGACGCACAATAGCAGTACTATACAGAGAACACTCTCACTTTAAACAAATTGTACCTAGAACGGCCTCTGGCCAAAGTCTTACATAGTCACTGACTGCAGATAGACTCTAATGGAATAATAATAATATACGGGCGACGATACGGGGCCGACGATTACCAAGCCGTGACAGGTGACGCGCGCACCATGCGGGCGGCACGAGTAGAGCCGAGCCGCACTGAGGGCAGAGGCAGAGGCAGTGGGCAGGCAAATAGGGCTGTGGGCAGCAGGGCAGCTGTGGACGCATCGGGCATGTCAAGCGAGCGCCAAGGCCCGGGTGCGTGAGTGGCAGTGAATGTCGCGGAACACATGACGAACGCCCGTTGCCCACGCCGACCCCACACGCTCACCAGAGTTTTTTTTTCCTCGTCCTCGTCCTCCCACGGGCACTCGTTCCCAGGCGCGGTGCCCGGCGGCCGTGGGTGCGAGGGCAAGGGAGCGAGCACGAGTGCTCGCACGAGGAGGAGCAGCGCTGCACTGACGATGGCGGGGCCATGCGTTGGCAGCAGCCATGCCATGACATCCATGGCATGCATCCATGACATGGCCGGTGTCAGTGGCCGTCGGGCGCTGGCTGCGTCGCCGAAACCACGCCTCCGTCAGCCAAGAGGGTGGTGGCAGTGGCAGTGGTGATGATGGTGCTCTCCTAGCCGCCTCGCTCCATTTTACCCACTCGGCACTGTTCGCGGACACGCCTGCTGCCCGAGCCGCCGACCGTCTGATATGATATGCACACGCAGCATGTAGCCCCCTTTGCCCTGGCCGCGGGGGCTGCAGTGCGCGCGGATGCGTGGGAAGAGAGCACGAGAATGTGAGTGAGTGTGCGTGGATGCGTGGGTGCGTGGGCGTGTGAAGGCGTGAATGTGCGAGTGTGTGGGCAATGTCGAGAGGGGACTGCGCCCTGATGTGTATCCACCCATTGACGTGTTGCGCGCGCCGCCGTATTTAGCTAAGCAGCAGCAGCAGCAGCAGCATATCGAGGCTGTGACACCATGGGACGCAGCCATGGCCTTTCCGGGGCTGAGGGCGACTTTAGCATGGCCTTGTGCATGCAGAGAAGCCGCTTGGCCGTGTGTCGCCGACGAAATGGCCTTTTTTCCAATGCCCCCCCCCTTTGGCGTGTGGGTGTGGACGTCGAGGGCTTTGTTCCTTGGTTGGTGCGACGCAAGCGTTCACGGACGCACGGGGACGCTGTTCATGGCTAATGCACGTCTAAGTCGGACCCAAGTGGCCGAGGGCGAGGGGGCGCGTGCTTGTCTCCAACCTCACCCCCAAGACCAAGACAAGACGATGCAGCGAACAGCGCATGCGCGGCTCCAGGCAGACCACACCGCTCCCTGCCCACGATGCCGGCCATGGCGAGGCAGTCACAGCGATGCCATGGCCGCCCGCCCACGCCACGCAGCCATGACCTGGCAGGGCGCCGTATCATCTGTGTCCTGGCGCATCATACAGGCACCGGCACCGGTATCCAGACATGGAGTCTGTGTATACAGCGTGGCCGGCCCAAGACGTGCAGCGCATCGGCGGCGCTGGTGGTGGTGGTGGTGTGGCTCGCATTGCCTGGGCGGGCAGGGCGCGACGTCACGCTCATGGCGCGGCAGTTCACCGCAGTTCACCGCTCCTCTGTGCATGCGTTGATTCCATGTACTGTAATGCATTGCCGGCCGCCCACAGCGGGTGGGGGGAGGCGCGCGCTGCTTCGTCTTGACCGGACAGGCGACGACGAGGCGAGCAGGCGAGCAGGCGAGCCGTCGTGTCGGCCGTGTATCGACGACACTATGGCTGCGCCGTGTGTGTTATACGTATCGATGCATGTATGCGTGCGCCAGCCATGTATAGACACCACTCGTTCGCAAGGCGGCAGGGCGAGCATGAGCATGCTGCAGATCTCGGTCGACTGCGCGCATCCCTGAGGCTGTTCACCGCTTGCGTCTGGCCTTGATTCGCTGCCTTGGCCGCTCGACGATCGCGACAAGACTCGCCCACCCCGGCCATGCTCTGCAAACGCCGCCGCCGCCGCCGCCAGCCCTGTCCTGTCTTGTCCTGTCCTGTCTTGCGCTGTCCTGTCCTGTCCTGTCCTGTCCTGTCTGGTGGTCTGGTCTTGGGCACGCGCATTGAGGCCTGACGAAACAAGAGGGCAGCAAATGGGAGCCGCCCAAGGCTCCGCCGCTCGCCAAATACGAAGACGCCCATCTCGCCAACGCCAATGCCAACGCTGTCGCCAACGGCGGCTGCACCCACAGCCAGACACCCAGCCAGACACTCAGCCAGAGCCAGAGCCAGACGTGAGGCTGCCCGTCGTGCCTGCCTGTTCTGCCCTGTCCTGTCCGCATGCGGCAGCCGCGATGGCGACAACGGCAGCAGCGACGACGACGACGACGACGACAACAACAACAACTGCAACTGCAACTGCAACAACACACGACTCACCACCCCACTAACCCTCCCCTCATCATCATCATCATCATCACCACCTCCACCACCACCACCACCACCACCACTCACCTCCACCACCCACCCCCCATCACGATACTGCTCCAGCGAACGCCCTCCGCACTGCCAATGCCCGACCAGCTCGCAGCCTCCCCCAACCCTCGCCCTCGCCCGCACCCGCGCCAGACACGTCACCCCAGCCAGCAACTGCGCCTGTGTGCATCAGAGTGCGTGTGAGCAGCTGCGTGCGTGGGTGTGGGTGTGGGTGTGGGTGTGTGTGTGTGCGTGAGTGTGCGAGTGTTTGGAGCTCTCCCGCTAATTCTGGCTGCTAGCCGCGCCCGCACCCTCGTCGCCTCCCCTCCCTCACCCTGGGCCTGAGGGCGACGAGTCCTCGCACTCCACTCGCGCTCGCTAAAATCTCCGGCACACATGCTTCCTTAGATCGCATCAGCTCAGGTGTTGTCGTGGTCTGTGGGTCGTTAATGTGGCGCGCCGCCAGCACGAGTCGAGAAAGCGTCAAGCGCACAAGTAGTCGGTGTCAAGTACAGACGCAAAGGGTACTTTCTGATCCCACGCCCCCGGATCCCTACATCCCTACCGCCCGCCATGATGATGATGCGGCGCCAGCCCACGCCCGCCAGGGATGCCTGTTATTAGCATTACAGTTGCACGCTAACTCTCTCTACTCGCACATCCATGCTCTTCCTCCCAACTATGTACCTCAAACCCTCAGACCCTACTTTGCTCCTACCCACCACCACCTTACCACCTTACCACCCACCGACCACCTACCACCTACCTACACACCTACCCTCACCTACCCTCACCTAACCCTGTCCTGCCTTACCCTACCCTTCCCTACCTACCCTTCCCTACCCTACCCTTCCCTACACATCCTACACAGACACACACACACTCACACACACACACACACACACACACGCACTCACACCCTACCTTACCTTACCTTACCTCCCCGACCCTCCCTCCCTGCTCGACCTGCAAAAAAGCCCACTGGCTCAGCACGACCGTCATTGCTCACACCGAGTAGTTGGCCTGTTTCACCCCCTGCTCCCCGAGCCCCGACCCCATCTCCCAAATAGCTCCTCTCCATCGACCACTTAGAGCGTCAATCATCCAAAGTACCTCCCAACTGGCTACCTGGTTCCCTCATCGGCACATTTAGTCTATCCGAACCTCATCACTTTACGCTTGTCTTCTCCTGTTCATCTCCCGCCCTGCTCCCACTTCCTTGTTGTTGTTGTTGTTGTCCTCTCTTACACTCTTACTCACCCTCTCTCTCTCTCTCTTTCTCTCTCTTTCTCTCTCTCTCTCCCACCGCACACTCACACACACTCACACACACACACACACACCTTATCCACGACGCACTTCCTTCCCCTCCCGACAGACAAAGCCATCATCTGTCTGCCTGGTCTTTTTTTGGTCCTTCAACATCTCTTCCTCTCTCGCCCGCCCACTTCCAACCGCCTGCTGGCCCTCGGGAATTTTGGAAACCTAGGTGCGGCCCGCTCCTCCGGAGACCGGAAAGACTTTACCCTCGTCTTATGGGCTGGCTTAACGCTGGTCCTTTTCATTCACCCTGGATATCAACCTTCTTCTCGAGCCCCGGGCGCGGGGCTCCGAGTCGCCCGCCAGCAAGAAGAGCTCTGTTTCAAATGCTTCTCATTCAACAGCTGCCACCCGCGGATACACAACAGCGCCCTCTGCATACACACAGTCTCCCGCCCAACGAGCTTCGCCCGCCTATGCCACTGGATCGCCCGGCTATCCAGCTGCGCCGCCACACTATGTTTCCATGTCTGCCTACCCCCCGCAGGCTCCCACCTCTGCTCCCAAAACCTCGGCCCCAATGCTAGGAGGTCCCGTCTTGCCCGCCATTTCTGAACTACACCGACGCAGTGCCACCGACCCAGCGCCCCTCCCGCAATTCCGCCAACTCTATTCTGGACCCCATGGACCCGCACCCGCCCACAGCGGCCCAGCAGGAACAAACGTCTCACCGCCCTCGACACTCAAGCGACAGGCCTCGCAGACACCGCTACCAGACGAGAGCCCGGCCAAGAAACAGTCAAAATGGACCCCCGAGGAGGACAACCTGACGATTGAGCTGCGGGGTCAGGGCATGAAGTGGGACGACATTGCGAAGCGCCTACCAGGACGAAGCTCCATCTCGTGTCGCCTGCGCTATCAAAACTACCTGGAGAAGCGAGCCATCTGGGACGAGGAAAAGAAGAACAAGCTCGCGCGACTCTATGCCCGGTACGTGTTAGAATCAGGCCACATGATGGCATCTTTTTTTTGCTTCCTTTGCGCATCTTCGCTGGTCATGGGTATCTTGCAACCATGGCACTTCACACACAGATGCGACACCAACTCGGCAAAACAAAAGCTGACTTTTTTGGACAATAGATTCAAGGACCAAATGTGGCAGAAGGTGGCTACAGAGATGGGGATTCCCTGGCGTTCTGCCGAGTCCATGCACTGGCAGTTGGGTGAGCAGGAGATGAGTGCGCGCGCCAACGCGCCAGTGTTTCAGCTCCACCCATCTGCAACGGGAACAGGCATGAGCTCGCCATCCCAAGTGCCTGTTATACCTGCATCTGCACCACATGGCTTTACTCCCGCCAACGCCGCTCAATTGATGCCGAACCCGCCGCCCATGCCACCTCAGCTTCATCAGGCACCTCCACCACCCATGCCTCAGGGCCCGATACACGGCTACCACCACCGCACAGACAGTGGCTCCAGCGCCGGCGGCAGCGCTGGACGTAGGCGCAACAGCTCCTTCAGCCGTCGACGCGCAGACGCGCGCTCCCGCTCGAGCGTGCCTCCGCAACTCGGCCAGCCGCTGCCGCAGATCCACCCGCATTCCGAAGAGGACCTGGTCAGCGGTGCCAGGACAGCACCAGTGTCCGATATGACGGGTCCCATGAAACGAGAGGGCGATGGCCCCAGCTACATGGAGCTGTACCAACGGCGGCGACAAGACGAAGAAGCTGCCGCCGCAGCCATAGCAGGCCCGCCGAGATCCGAGCCGGATCTACGAAGTCATGACATGAGGAGTCCAGACAGGTTGTCGCAGCGCAGTGCAACAGGCAGCATCAAGAGCCTGAAACGTGACGCCGAAGACGCCGAGCGACGATCGACCATGGCCTCCCCGCCTCAGCCATCCACACCCTATGAGCGCCCAGCATCGACTGTCGCATAGACGTGGTCGTTGGGAAGTAGAGGTTCAATGCCACGCATACCTCTCCGCATTTAACGCAACGAGTTTCTTTTCGAGTTTTAGAAGATATAGACACACATTACTTTTGGGAAGGTGAAGCATTGCATTTACACACTGACACGCGTACGCATTCGGGCAGGGACCGTAATGAAGAGAGATATGGTTGTGAAGTAGTAGTAGTAGTAGTAGAAGAAGAAGAAGAAGAAGAAGAAGAAACAGAGGGAGTACAGGAGTACGGTGCAAAAAGGGAACGGAAAGGGAAAGGTAAAACGGGGCAATACCAGCAGCAGCATACCACGCGGCGAAATGCTCTTTTTTTTAGATCAAGGGAAGAAGACACCCTAGCTCAGGCATTGTTTGGGGGATGCATTTTAACAAACGGAGACATGTTCTCTCTCTCTCTCTCTCTTTCTCTCTCTCACCGTTATTCTTACGCGAGATGATGATTTGGAGCATTTAGCGTGGGTTTGGTTGGTTGGCTTTGTTTGTTGCACTTTTGTTTTTTAGTGGTTGGTTTTGTTTTCACGTTGTCGTTTGCTCTGTTTGGGCTTGCAAGAGAATGAGAGAGAGAAAGAGAGGGTGGGTGGTCTTTCCATGTTCCTACTTGTTACTTTTCAGCCTGTCTTGTTTCTTCCTGTTCTCTCTCTCTCTCTGTCTTGTCTGGCATATGATTTGCATGGTCTGGTTTGCTTTTCCGGGAAAACCATCATAGCGTTGCTTACTGTTTTGACTTTTTGTAGTATTCTTTCTTTCTTCTCTTGTTGTTTCCAGTATCTTCTTTTTTTTCCTTTCCTTTCCTTTCTATCTGTCTCTCTTGCATCTACTCACCTCCTAGTTTCATCAGCGATTGAGAAACTGATGGAGAGAGAGGGTGTGTAAGAGAGCGACAGTTCAAAAGAAACAACGGCGGTTACGATTTGTGCATTTTCAACACCAGGGCGTTTCAAGATTCTTCTTCTTCTTGTCTTTTTTTTTCCTCGGTACGATCATCCACGTCCCAGCGTATAATTCTGCCAGTTATAGAACAAAGGAGTCAAATCTTTGCACGTTTACCATTATTGTTGTTTGCTATTTCCTCTGTTTAGACTGTAACTCTTTTACTGCTCTTGATTCACGTCTCGTCGCAGGTATATATACACATTACCGTTTTGCAATGCTTTTCGCACAGTCTTTCTACTTTACGCACACACACACACACACACACACACTGATGAAGGCAATACCCCCCCTCCCCTTTGTTCCGCGAACTAATACAGCAATGACCAATTATAGTATGTAATGACACAGACACACACAATCAACAATCTAGTGTCCCCTGTCTTGTTTTCGGGCGCCGTGTGCATGATGGACTCGTGACTCAACCAAGCAATCAATCTCTCACCAACCCTAAGCCAGCGAACACGTTTGCCCCCCCCCCCCGCCAGCGAAGACGCGTTATGACATAGGCAGGGCACGGCATTAGCCATGGCCATGGGCATTCATTACCCACATTCGCCTCTTCCCTTTCTTCCTCGTTCCCTGTCGGGCAAGCCAATCAAACGCTCGGATGCAAAAGCAAGACAGGCGCAAACGTAGCAGTGGCGGGTTGGAAAGCGCCAAGGACAAGGCGCAACAAGAGAGGCAACGAGACACATGGACGCATGCTGGGGCGGTGTGGCGGTGAGAAAGGGGCGCTAGACTGCATCGAGTGCTAGCGGCTGGTTTACCGCTCTTGTGGCCAAATCATCTACGCTGATGCATGGGCATGGATTG